TAAGGCAAAAAACTTAATCTTTTTACCAAGAAAGTTGTACTCTTTTTCAAACACAACTGATTTCTGCCGTCACTTCAACATCACAGTTTCACAGCCATTTTGATTTTCAACCCGATAACATTCTCTCAAAATAGAAAGCCAGATTTATACAAACATCTTTTAAAAAGCAAAACAAAACAACAGAATTTCCCAGTAGTGCGTAGGGCTTCCACACGAATCTCTCAATAAACACACAATAATAATGTATCTGGTAGCGTTTGCAGCAGACAATTATGAATGAAAACTACAACAGTTTCATTCAAATGTAAAATAAGCATAACTGTGTCACACGAAAAATGAAGAAAACATTTCAAATTAAAACAAAGAAAGAGAAGAAAAGTTTGTAAAACAGGGGAGAGGAAAGAATTTAGAATGTGTTAAAGATATGGTCACAGCATAGGAGGGGAGGAATGGTTTCGAAACACACACGGTTTATTTACACAACACCCAAAATGCTTGAAACTACTGCAGAAAGCACATCATAGCTTTAGTAAGGAAAGCCAAAAGCAAAAACGAAGATCAATCAAGCACCAGCCTGTTATCAAAAGCCAAACACAAAGAGACCAATTCCTTTTTTTCATATATTGGGGATTACAATTTTGTCGTTCAAATTGTGGCACAAAAATCATTAAAATTCGCATCCAATCATAGACAGAATCAAGAAGCATTAGCAAAATAGAAAAAGTATCCCTTTTATTGACACCACACTGACACAGAAATAATTTGATCCTCAAGCGAGTCTACCATACCAAAAATTAAAAATTAAAAATAGGCACAAAGTACCATCAATCTACTTTTCTTTACTTTTCCAATCCAGCGGTCATCTGAGTTAAAGCTGGCCTGATCATCTATTAAAATCGGAGTATTACATCGAATCTGTCTTCATATTTATAACACTCATCAGATCAAAAACAACCCCAACAAATTTTTACAGCTTGAGCAGAGCTCAGGTAATCCAAAGTCAACTGTTTGACTGTCTGTTCCTGTTGTTAAAAAAATGTGTAGTTTTTTTGTTGCCTTCAGTTGTCAGATTTAAAAAATCTAGTTCTATGAATTTACAGTGCAGGTACCCCCAACGATTTGGAAGGAGATACCTGTAGATGAATTCAGTATCGAACTTCGCAAGGCAAAAGGGGGAAAAAAAATTCAGGGCTCAAAGATTTTAAAAAACCCATGGTGGCAAAGAGATTTCACAAATATTTGAATCGAACAGAAACACATGAACACATTGAGAATGATATAAAGTATAGAGCTGAGAAAAAACTAAAGATGACAGAAAAAAAATAACATATGAACAGAGAAGAAAGCAAGTACAGAATGAAGTATTACGATGGCACAAGCCAACAGAGAGCTCAATGTACAGCAAAGAGAAAAAGACATCAAACACAACAGAAGAGAGAAATCCCTACACAGCAGGGGAAAATGTTTACAACAACTATCCCAAGTGTACAGGATATATGGCAGTTAAAAAGCACAATCAAACAAAGGTATATATGCTTGCTATCTTGTGTGAGCAGTGGTGTACCATGAGAGAGAGGGGGGGAGGAGGGAAGGGGAGAGAAAGAGAGAGAGAGAGAGAGAGAGAGAGAGAGAGAGAGAGAGAGAGAGAGAGAGAGAGAGAGAGAGAGAGAGGGGGAGGAGAGAGAAAAGGGGGGGGGGGGAGAGAATATACAATAAAAAAGGACATAAACTCAGAGAAAGGAAGTAAATAAACAGGACAATCTCTTGTTTTTTTTCACTACAGTTGACCCTCAAACTTACCCCGCAGAAAACACTACATTCTTTTCACTAAGTGCAAAAACATCATATCATTTTCAAGTCTTCAAATTAAAAGACACCAGAATCTCTTTTCGCTTCTCTTCTGTCTCTGCTTGAGCCTAAACAGGAAGATAAAACCTTTGGGGGCATACAGAACTTCTTAAGCGTTTTTTCTTCCCTCCAACTATCCAGCCCTTCCTCTTAACCTTCTCAAAATTATCCTTCTAACATTTTTATATAATATAGCATTTGTATTGTGCAAATCCCCCCTCAACAGCAAGCTCTATCCCTTTCACAATCTATACTATTACCCCAGCAGACCTGAGAGCATTCTGAAACAATCTCAACTTCTTGGGAAGCGCATGAAGCACACATTGCAAGCAGCCATTTACAGGCGCTAAAACACTAATATACTGACACTGTCAGTATATCTTTCACTGTCTATGACCGGGTACCCATTCCCACCTGGGTGAAGTGAGGAAAATTCGTGTAAAGTGCCTTTCCCCAAGGACACAACGTTGGGCCTGCAGCTCGAACCCCCGAACCCGCAACCTCACGATTACGAGTCCGGTAGCCTAACCACTAGGCCACCGACGCTATGCCCCCACTAAATATCTCACATTTTGATTGATGTTCATTTCTGCGATGAATTGCTCAATCGCTGAGTTTAAAAATTCTATGCTGAGCATTAAAGACAGTATTCTTTAAAAATGCAATGCCTGACTGTCACTACAACAAGAGTACATATGCAAATTCAGACGTGTTCATAAATGAAGAAACATTTAAAGAAGCTTCATTGGGAAAGTGCTGATTCCTACTAATGGCAAAATTCATATCCCTTCATTTACAATTCAAGTTTAGGACAATATACGAAATTTCTCTATCATTCTGCTTTTCGAAGGAGAATTGAGACAATAGAGACTATGTCCATTCACACAAATGAACATCAGAATAAGGCCTCACATGACAATATTTGTTGTGTAAATAAGTTGGGAAAACCTCAGAACAAACGACAAGGAGGACAGTGCTTCTAATGCAAGGATAGTTCTTCTGTCTCCATCTCAAGTTCTGGATCTGAGGAGAAAGCGCCAGTTCAATGTGCCCTATGTGAAAAGTGATAACAGTCCCATCTTGATGTAGTCTTTACATACAAAACAAAACTGTACATGGATAAGATATATGAATAAAGCTCACACACACACATAAGTTTCACCTCTTTATTTGCATGCATTTCTACTTTTTTTTTTCAAAGATTACGAGTAGGTGAATCTTGAAAACTTTCTGCTTTTGATTTTTGACTCTGATAGTTGTGAGAGTTACACTACAGTAAATAGATAACTACCTTCTACATTCTTCATCCTACGTACACTCACAGCTAAGAGTACTATAGACACTTGCTTCGTTTTAAGCATTTGGTGTTGGGGGGGTAAAAAAAATGGACACTAAGTTAATACGTAACATAGATTGGCAGTTTTATTTTTCCCTGCCAAAGGTGTTTAACAATTGTAATACATACACCAAATCCTGCAAAATTTTCAGCATCATCCTTTAGCATGCACAATTATTTCCAAAACAACGCCATCTACTTAGGGCAAAGTTCTCAACATGACTGCAGTAGACAGGTTCAAAACTTCACCTGGAGGTCAAGTAACAGCTGGTTTCAACTGTCAAAAGAGCTTATTCCAACATTCAAGAGCTATCTAACAACCGTACCCAATATTAAGGTTAAGGACATGTCTTCTACTAAATTAACATCTGGCACCCATAAAAATGGGCTACAGGACCCACCCGACAAAAAAAAATACTAATAAGCCATTGTTAGCCGGTAGAGAGGCACTGTTGTTTACACGTTTAGATGAGTCTCTCATACCTACAATCAGACAAGTATTTTCATCAATTTGGCTACACATATTCACCAATGTATATGTACAAAGTGAAAATAACATTTCAACTACAAATACATAATACACATTTATTGACTCTTGAGATAAAAGGAATAATAAATATTAGAAAAACCCACTCAAATTCTCTTTAACAAGTTCATGCAAATTTGGCAAGCACATTTCAGCCCAGTTTATCACTCCGCAGTAACAACAATTGCTTTCTAAAAAATCCGAAGGAGCTATACCTCACATAAATTCATGCAGCAGCAAGCAATCAGTACTAATACTGCTGGTAAATTAATGCAAAATACATGATTTGATACTTTTTCAGCACTCATATTTCACCATAACACCATACAACTTTAGACACATTGAGATTTCAAATCAGTAAAATGTCCCGCAAATTCATGGAATATTTTTTAAAAACAATTATTGAAACTGAACAAAATTGCTTTCCTCCAAGTACTTTTTATAAGGAATAAAACACAAGATCCCCTTTAAAAAAAATTGCATCATAACTCTTGATGCCTGAACAAAGCTGAAAATCCATAACTAATTTTGGATAACACTTAAACTGAAGCTAAAACTTTTGTAAAACCATACACTTGCTTCAGTGAAAATAACATAAAATGTGAGGCAGCGTGATGAAATCAGGCGCTCGTCAAAATAATCAGAGAAGAAACAAGCATTTTTCACAGGATTGCGAATTTTTATCGAATTTTTGTTTTTTGACTCAACACCTTTCATGCCCAATAAAGAACACATTTCTATGTATTTGGATTTTACTTTTTAAAAATTGATTAAAGGCACAAATAATGTAAATGAACAGTTTCCACAGACTCTCAAATTCGGGAAATGACTTATCTTTGGAGGCCATTTTCTCAGTATTTTTACCTATGAAACCAGGTGACCCCCACCTCCTTCATTCGCAAATATATCTCGACTAGAATGGGGGGGGGGGGTTTCTTCTAAAGCAAGACAAATGAACAAGCTTTCAGATGATACCAATAACTTTACATGCCCAAAACTTGATGTGAGCCTTATTATACCATGTCGTGACACAAATGATTTACAGTAGAAGAGGGATTAAAGATGTAGAAAACGAAACTACCACACTTTTAACAATTCAAAGAGAAAAATCATGTGGGTACAAAAAGTTCAGCAAAGAGATAATGTATCAAAAGAGCAATAATAAATACAGAAGAATGCTACCCTCTGAAGAGATGCTCCAAAAGTCAATGACTGCAATTGGGTACAGACGCAAGAACTTTTCAGTGCATGGAAAATCTCAGCCACTAACCCTCAAAGCATCAGTGTCAATTTTTTTTTTTTTGTGGGTGTACAGTATATCAAAACAGCAAAACTCAAGTCTTAACGCTTAGTCTGGCTAAAAGTCTCCGTTTCAGTTGCTGAGAAACATAGGAGCCAGCAAAACTGGTACTCAACAGATTGTTTTTAAAAAGTTACATCAATACCAAGTCCAGAAATGAGGACGCTAATTGGTACACAAACAAAGATTGATGACAAAAATAAAGAACATCTGACTGAGACTTTCAGAATTCCTTAAATATTCCATAAAGAGGTATACAGAAAAGTGGTACCCTTACCACTGAATTTTCTGGCCACAGGCCGTAACAAATCACATACCCCCCCTTTTCCTCAAAGCCCCAGCCCCATGCATGCACACAACCAAAAACAAATAATCATCTCAGACTTACAAACTTACTAGTAGGGAGCAATCAAAAACAAAAACAAAACAAAAAAAACCACCTAACCCATCCGCGCAAAGCTTTTTTGTAACTTACATACATGGTGCTAAATTCATGGAACTGTGGGGTGGGAAATTCCATCAAAAATGTGTGGCACGTGTAATGGCTGATCAGGACTTCTGATTTATTTTTTTTGCCTTCTAGTTCATTCACTAGACCAGCGGTGTGGAGGGGGATCCCTCGGAAGCACAAGATGCAGGGCACACAGACGAGCCTGCTGGGCATTTTTGTCACTGCTCACATCAGTGACGGGGTGGAAAAACAGCGAAGAAAACACAGCAAGTCCTCAAGCAAGAGAGGAACACTAGCATGCACAATTCTGTTCTAAAGCGCAAAAAAGCTTGGACAAAATACTTTAGAACAAACTTAAATCTCTCAATAATAGCTAATAGCTGAATTGCAAGGGGACAATTGATTTTTTACAAACTGGTTTCATACAATGTTGGTTCAGTAATTCAGCTCAGGGTCAAAGAACATTCACAGAAGAAAACAACTGTATCCAATATATCATTTAAAAAATTTAATCTCTAATCAATAGCAATGCTGGGATTTCCAAGAATATCCCAAACAATTATTTTTCAGTACAAGGCATTAATTGGAGGACAACTGACTGGACCTTTCACAAATGACCTCAACCCACCTATAGAACAGCTTTAATAAATCTTTGTTCCTTCCACTTATAGCCCAATGCCTAGTGAGTAGCAGAAGGTGGAACCTTTAGAAGCCGTCTAATTCTATGTTATTCTAAAACTACTACGAAAAAAAAAGAGGTGATGATAAAACTCCCTCCACATGTACTAGCTGCACGAGTCTACGGTGAGTTTGGAATACTTGCTGGCCACGCTGCTCTCGCTGGTGCTGCTGCTGGTGCTGCTCTGAGACAGAGTCAAGGGCCCCTCCCCCTCCAGGCCGTGGCTCATGTTCACAGGTCGGGGGGGGCATGAAGTGTGCTGCTCATCCACTGACCACCGGCGCTCCAGACACCGCCCTGGGGGGGTACTCGAGGAACTGGAGCCAAACATGTCAGAAGGCAGGGACCGTAGATTTTTTCCACTGTCGTGACTCATATTTGACCGTTTTCTCCTTAAATCCAAAGGAGCTTCCGAAGCGTTAACAATTGTACCACTGTCCAGAACAGCAGCAGGTGAGTGGCTCAGGATTCTGGGGTTCGAAACCCCGTGGAGGCCACCGCTGTCAGATGGAATTATTTCGGTCACATCGAGGCCAGGTGTAGTCACGCTGGTGCATGTCCTCGTCTCGCTGGAGGATGATGGGAAGGAGAAGCTGCGCTCCAGGAATGCTCTGTTGGGGCGCGTGGAGGAGACAGCAGTAGCGGGCGTGGAAGGTTTGGTGAAGTCCGACCGCTCTCGCCGGTGTTTCATCAGCTTGTGCTTGTAGACCACGCCCACGTCCTCCTCCGCTAGAACTGCTGGCATCGGGGACGACTCGGCTGACACTTGAGCCGACGACTCAGAGCTCTGCGACATGGTGTCGATCGACAACAGAGGAGACGAGACCGCTGACACGAAAGGGGACGAATCCGCGGATGTGAATGCTGATGAAGTCTCTAAACCCTGAGTGGAGCTCCGCCGGGCTGACAGAGCAAGTTTTGCTGCCAGGGGCAGGTGCACCGGATGATGATGATGATGATGGTGATGGTGGTGGTCGAGGGATGAGGGAGTCGCTCGCGGGCTGTTGGGGGCACTGGTGGTGAAGCTCCCGGTGTGAGCGGGCGCCGCGCTCCCTCCGTACAGCGAGGGGCTCATTAACGGCGAGGTATCCTCCAGCTTGACGCTGGCAGGTAGACCAACGAGCAGCGGGGAAGGAGGGGGGTACGACAGCACCTCTTCCTTCACCCGGACGGGGGGCGTGGTCAGCAGGGGCGCGGCTGACAGAGACGACGGGGTGGGGAAGCCCAGCATCTCCAGCACCCGGTGCGACAGGCCCACCGCCGCGTTCTGCGTGGCCCGGTAGTCCGAGCACTGCTTCATGTGTTGACGGAGGGTCTCGATGATGCGGTTGCGCTGATCCGTCAGCGAACCTAAGGCAGTGACCAGTTCAGAGTTCTGCGACTGCAGGTGCCGAATTTCCTGTTTGGATTGGGAGGGGGGAAGAGGAAGAAGAAAGAAAATTCTTAGTTTAGTTTTCAAAACAGTTTTACCACACTTGCATCACAAATAAGTCATGTACGTGCCGCAGATTAGGAGTTACAATGGAGCAACGTGACAAAAAAAAAAGGAAGACAGATAAAGATGTCGTTTGATTGGAAAGAAGTTGTAAACCACACTAGAGCACCTACCAACCACCCGCAAATAAACAACACAATTTATTCTCTGGTACAAAAAACTTGCACAAACTTAAAAACCACAGGTTTCCGCAATCAATGCTGCATGGGAAACTACCATAAATACTCTTTTTTCTCGCACAGGAAGAACAAAAGTCAGATTCCTACCTGGGTAAGACACTTTATCAAGTACCCCTGTCTTTCTGTAGACTACGTATCTGCATGGACCCAGACAAGGGGAATTGTCTCCTAAACCATCAAAACAGTGTCGACAGGGCATAAAATAGTTCCTACAAACAACCATCCACTCAAGAACATTAGAAAAGCTATCATTTATTACTCAGAAATTCACAGAATAAATATAACCTGCTCTCTGAAAATTGTAGAAAAGGTAACAAACAGCATTTTTACTCCGGTGATAGGCTGCTGACAATGTTGTTCATAAAAATTTAATAAAGGGGAAAAACCAAAGAAACGTGACATGAGTTGTTGGGGTTTCAAAACACGTGGCATTTATTCAGGGCAGACTACTCTGACCCCACTATCCGAAAAAACTATTTCCACAGTTATGTCCCTTGGCTGGTTGTAGGCAGAATTATTTTTCTCTCCTTTTTCCAAAGGATGCTCAAAGTCCCACCTTTCTCTAGGCTCATTTGTGTGGGAAAATTCCTTTGCATTAAATCTTGCGTCTCTTTTCTATGCTGCTGTGACCTGCGTTAACAGCAAATTAAATGCAGTATTCAGATTCAGAGAGGGGGGGGGGGGGGGGAAGAAAAACTAATCTGTCCTTCACAGCCCATTCAGTTTCCAAAGGTGGCAAGTGGGAATCTAATTTTGATTTTAATGAGATGGATCTAGAATAGGGTCATTGCCCGTCATAATCTGATGTAAGACACACTGTTCTACTCATAACTTTACTACCAAGTCCGAAAGCAAAAACATTGACCTTTTAATGGATTTTTGTTTTTGTTTTTGAGATTCTTATTTCTTGAAAGTTTGAAGGCTTTGAGCCTTTGTTTCTCTTTCATACTTTACTTTTTTGATCCAGCAGCCATTTGGGCTCTAGCCCTTCAGCCTGTCGATATGGCAAAGAATTTACAGGTTTTAATCAGCTCTGCTTTGTCGTTGTATAGAATATTTCCCATGTCTTTCTTTCATACAAAAATAAAAAACTTCACTCTGCTATTTATATTTTATTTTAATTTATTTCAGAAATGTGTGTGGTTTAACATAGTATACTGCTCATTTTCAAAGCCAATTTTTTTTATTTTCACGGTTCTAAAAATTTCCTTGTAAATTTTTGTCAAATATTGTCCAATTAACCTTTTTTTTTCAATTACAGGGAGAAGGCGAAAGTTTTTCTTACAATAACTTAATTTGAGAAATTTCCCACTTCTGTCTGAGTTTAATTGGCACCTACACATTTTATCTTTCAAAATTCACGATCAGATATCCATCAGTACCAAGTAATAGTGCACATACTACAACAAAGCAGTTTTCATTGTCCTTTAACATCTGCTAAAAAACATAGGTCATTTCAAAAGTAGAAAATTTGGCCTTCTCCCTATCAGGAGCCTAGGTTGAGAGGCAATACTCTAGCAAGGTCAGGAAAAACAATTCAGTCCAGACCCCACTCAAATCAAAAACTCAACCTCCTCCTTGAACAGATCAAGTTCTTAACCAACTGTGCGGCAGTGGCTGAACTTCAGGTACTTGAGGCCAATTCCAAAGATAATGGATACAGGTACAGTCAGTCGGCCATACCTACCAGTCATTTGGCAGTCAGGAAAAAATAAAAGTTCATTGCCTGCCACAGTGTCAGGAGCAAACACTGTAACAAACTCCTCCTATTTTTACCTCCACTAGCTTGTCCTTCCGTTTTTGGCCTTTCTCTCGTGACCTCCGCGCGGCCAAACGGTTCAGCTCACGGCGACGGGCACGTTTTTTCAGCTCCTCTGTAGTCAACTGAGAAAACAAGATTCAAAAACTTTCCGTCTTCATGATGTCACATAGGATAGGGGAACCATCAGAGCATGAATCAATTTAACATTCCACTACAAAAGGCATGCAAAAGACAGAAAAAGTAGTTTCCTGCATTACCACAAATTCAAGGAAATGCCTTTACAAAAGACAGTATATTCCCTTCCTCCTCCTTCCCGGTAAATTTTAGTCAATAGCACAACAAAAATCAATTCCTTTTCAGCACAACCAAACATGCACTTGTAGAACAAAGTCATGAAAACTGAACAGCATAGCCTTCTAAAACAAATTAAGCTCTAACTCATGAACGACTCCAAGCCTTTCATCAGAACTAAGAATACAAATTGAAACTGACAGTCATGTTATACAAATCCCTGGGCACACTAAAGGAGAAGTGGCATGAACAAAAATGTCAAAAGATTGATGGAACGTCTTCATCAATCAGAGAAGACAAAAGATCATAAATTATCACTTACGCTTTACAAAATGCAAGAGTTTTTTTATTTGAAAACTATTACATAGAGCCTGCTTTTTACAAGACATTTTCCATTTTAGAAATATTGTCAGTATTTTGGAAAAAAATATTCCTTTGTCACTTCTGCTCGAAAACTGTCTCGCCTGCTCAAATAAAATCCTGAAAGCATCTCACGAGAGAGGATCGAGTTCATAGAAAGGGTGCGTCACTGCTAACAGGTGGCATGAAAACATTATATTAAGTTGTGAGTTGTTAAATGCATTTCTAAAATTAAGTGAACATCCATCTCAAACACTCCCGAGTGAGCTGTGTTGGATGGAACAAAATAATTTTTTCTGCAAAAGAACAATGACACAATGGCAGAAAGAGACAAATATGAATTAACCTCTTCGCTGCCGCGCCCGTAGAATTTACGGGCCTGTATACTGTGTAACGCTGTGCATATGGCCCCTAGAATTTACGGGACTGTGACAGTGGTTGTTTTGATACCAATTACAAGGGAAGTTACTGCTACAATATTGTCATTATTATTTGGGTACTTTCCCTTTCTGTTTACTTCTATTTTCCCTCCAGTTGAAAGCGTCAGATTCAGATTTTAGCTTCGAAGAGAAGATTAGATCTAGATCTAACACATCTACCACACAAAAATGATTTACTGGCAGTAAACACAAATGGGCTGACATGTATATATTTGGATTGTAGGTTACCTCTTCCTTGACAGGTTTCTTAAACTCAATCTTTTCAAACTTTCAGCAATAGCTCGTAGGCGTAACAGGTTGCACTATAACAAAATTTTCAGCTGTCAGTTACCTCTTCCTTGACGGGTTTCTTAAACTCCACCTGCAGCTCGGCCTTCCCCTCGGCCTTGCGGCGGGACTGGATGATGAGCTTCAGGTCCTGCTTGATCAGGTGGCTGGGGCTGCCAGAGTCGAGAGTGGCCAGGGTGGCCACCACCAGCTTCTCATCCTGCAGGAAAAGAAAAACAGCAAGAGTGAGAACCAACTACATACATATGTGTATGTTGAGATGACTTCACAAGAAATACAACAGCTTCAAAATCAAAAAGGATGCAAGCTGAGGAAACTATCATTTATCATGACATTCTAATTTTTGCTTTAGCAAGAGTTTTGCAGCAATTAAAACACAAATAGGTGATACAATTGCCGAATCGGAATATAAAAAGTGTTACAGGAAAAAATACAAAACCTTTTAGTTTACATCGTTTTAGTAGGAGTTTTACGAAATTTGCAACACAAATAGGTCATGTAAGCGCAGAAGATTAGAGGTGTTACAAAGAGAAATGAGGACAATACATGCGTAGCTTTAGTAAGAGTTTTGCAACATTTGCAGATGAGTCATAAAAATGCTGAAGTGTAAAGAGAAAGTAACAAGGGAGTCAATATTTTTGCATTGCCTCAGAAAGAGAATGTGAACATCTTAACATTTAAAACATCTAGCAAATTTAAGACATTCTAAAACGTTAAATTAAACAAAAATCCTTTACATTCAAGGCAAAATTTGAGAATACCAAACCTGTCAAGCTTTGTTTGGCTCTTTGTTTAAAATTGTAATTAGGTTGCATCGTTCTAGTATCCTTGTCTCCACTTGTTATGCAAAACAACTCTAAGAGGCCATTACTGCCTTAAAAATAAAGATGTGGGATTCCGCTGAAGACAAAACAAGGTGCTGTGATTAATGTGCAGGACAAAACCAAGACAGTTTTGTTTGAAATGTCAACAGGTGGAGTTATATCAACTGCTTTTGCACTTTCAAATTAATGTAATCCATTTTATTACATCTTTGTCTCAACTTTGTCAGGTTCAAACAGCGTCTCTCTATTTTTTCCTTTCCAAAACAACAGACTGCCTCAAGGATTTGCAGAAGCAAGTTGTCTACTCTATGGATTCAGCAGACTCCAAGGGTTTGGTCTAGACCCCATTATCATTATAATCTATAATTCCAGCACACAGCACTATCTAGTTTCAGTAAGAGTTTTACAGCACTTTCAACACAATTAGGTAATATAAATGCTGAAAATTAAAGGTGTCACAAGACAGTAACGAGCAAAGAAAAGGAGGAGAGATGAGGACGATGGATGTTTGACAGGAAAGAAGGAGCGAACAACACTAGAGCACCCACCAACCACCCACAAACAGAACTATAAACCATTCCATTCGAAATAGATTTTTTTGGTGGCTTCTCTAACAACTGTTCCGTCCCCTCCCGAGGATGCTCTCCCTTCCATTCAACACAAGCACGTTCCCACAAAATTATCCACATGTAGCAACAAAATAAAATCAATACATGCAACACACCACTTCCTACTGACAGACATTAGAGCAGACCCCCACGAGACAAAAATCAATATAATAAGCCATTTGTCAACTGAAACAGATAATCCTGGAGACAAAAATAGCCTGAGCCTCACAAAGATGCAGCTCATACAGTACCTACACTGATCTAGATATCTATCTATCTGTCTAGCAACCTGTAAAATGGAGGCAGAGGTCTCTGAGAATAATGAAAACCCCATTGAGACTGCACTCCAACAAAAGAGACTTTAGAGTACTGTTTACATTTACATTATTTACCTTCTAATTCTATACATCACAGGAAAGGATATTCATAAAACTTCTTTTTTGTCTATTTGCAGTGAGACTGCACTCCAAAAAAAGAGACCTTGGAGTTTACTATTCAAACTTTTATTCTACTCATCCTCGATCGATCGATAGTAATCATTATATAATTAATATTCATAAATAAAATTCATATGTGTGTGTGCGTGTGTGTGTGTGGGGAAGGAGGGGGTGTCAGATTAGATGGAAAATTTAATAGAGTAGAAACTGACAAACAAGAGAACAAGAGTCATCCCAAACTGGCACTGGGAGGACAACAACTTATACTAGACTAGTCCCATGATATGAGGTGTCAATCTTCCATGATGTAAGTCACATTCATCACACAGCGGTAATAAAACTCAAAAGCAAAACAAGAGTCATTCTAAAAAGCACATTGGCAACTGCAGTACCATTTAAGTAAAATCAATAATATAGGGATCAGTTGTAGCAGTAGAAAGCACCCTCATTAACTGTTGAACAGAACAAAAACCGAACAATATATACTGCTTTAGAAGATAAAATGCAGAAACAAGCATGCATCTGGCCTGTTACATGCATGATATGTTAACGTATTTATAAGTCAAATTGTTTCAGAGAAAATCCTAAGACTTTAAAGGGTTCAACAATCAAATTGGTAAGAGAAAAAAAGTCATTTTTGTATTATATCTAGCATCAGAAGAAAACCATAAATTATCGGAAAGTGCCAAAGATAAAAATACCAATAAACAATTTTACTCTTTCCTTAACTACTACAACTGATTTTGTTTTTCAGACAGCAACAATTTTCTTTCAATTTCAATAAACGCTGACTGACCCTAAACACTACGACAATATTCTACAAATATTTTCAAAAAGAACTAGAACTTAGTAAAAACTTTGTATAAATACTTCTGTTCATACAAAAATGAGAGAGTTCAGAAATTTTCAAAAGAAAGTTGTAAGTCAGCAGCCTTCAAATCAAAATGTTAGTAATAAAGAATACAAAATGTATTCATTCCCCATACTTAAAGTGCACTTCCAGTTAAAGACTTGAAAACTAAACTTTATGCAAAAAAGCCAATTAAAACACTCTTCACAAAAAGTAGTGATGAAGTGCTCAAGATGTAAATATAGAAACAAACAATTTAAAGTCAACAACAGATGATCAATGGGGAAATGCACTTCTTGTAGTGTTATTGTACAGGCACCACTAAGACCCAATAACATATATGTGTCACAACGTGGTGGAATCAGGTGCTCGTCAGTTTTTGGGCATATAGGGTTAAGCTGACATTCCATATGCCTGAAAAACCGATGCGAATTTCGGGTGCGAATTTCGCGTGCAAACTATTTTTTTCGCACCAACCTTTTAGTCATTGTGTAAATCCAAGATTTTGTTTCGCACGAGGGAGCGAAACTTTTTTCTTCGGCACCCGAATTCTTCGTGAAGTGGGCGGGGCTTATTTCCCGCCAAATCTACTTCAAAGGAACGAAGCAGCATGGAAGCACTAGGTAAGTGGGGAAAACGTCGAAATGTTGATTTCCTTGGTTCGAGAGAGAAGTATTAAAACTAAGACTGAAAAGAGATGTTTATGTTCAAGATGGCTGCCATTTCCATGGCAACCACTATTTTTAAAGCTTGTGGGAAACTTTCGGGAGTCTATGTAATCTAGATCTAGACATATCTATGCTATCACTATCATTTATCGTTTAAATCATGTAATAACAAAAAATAGCATTTCACTTACCCCCCTTAAATGCACTTGAATATAACTTCTAACATACATTAATTATAACTTAAGATTGCTGTCTGCGCCGCAGCCACATCAGCCAGTGCTGTCGGTGATAGGACCGAAGCTTCGAAAAGAAAACGACCCAAGAAAGCAAAGCTTATGAAGAAAAGGCCATCATCAAGTCTGGACAAAGCAATTTAAAACCTGCTTTCGTACGAACAGGAGTTCTAACAGCAAAATTCTCTCGTTTTCAACGTAGAGTGCTTGCTCTGACGGAACTGATGCCGTGATTTCAGTCAGATGACGGATATGAATTTCGGGTATATGGAAGGAGGGCTCTTTTTTCATCGCACGCGAATTTCGTGTACGAAATTTGCACCCGAAGTTCACATCGGTTTTTCGGGCATATGGAATGCCAGCTTTATTGGTATCATCTTAAAGCCTGTTCATTTGTCTTTCTTATGGTGAAAAAAATATCCATCTATGTTAAATAGAAGTCAAAATATTAGCGATTGAAGGAGGACAATTAACAAGAAAATGGCCACCAAAGTTTGGTAACTTCCATGGTCTGAGACTGAGAGTCCATCGAAACTGAAAATTCACATTTTTTGTGCCTTTACTTGATTTTTCAGAAAAATCAACACAAAAATGTGATTTTAAATGGAAATAAAAGGTGTCGAGTCAAAAAAAGAAAATTAGAAAAAAAAATTTCCCATCGGCCCAAAAAATGTCGATTTCTTTGATTTCATTATTTTGACAAGCGCCTGATTTCACCACGATGCCTCACATATTTCAGAATTATGATTGATACACACAGTGGAGTCCACTAAAACCGAACATGAATCATCCGACAGCGGTTATCCAAAAATAAACAGAACCCCTGATTTTTTTTCTTCATCTAATCTTCTAATTGAACAACCTCTCTAAACAGAAAACCCAGTTAAACCAAGGATCTAGAGGTCCCACAGATTTCAGTTTGAGCTGATTCCACTGCATGAATTCCATTTTATATGATTTTATTTTATTCTTTCAAGGATACCCTCCTTGAAAAGAACTTCTTCAGAGTTTGAAGCAGTAAATCGCGACCTCAGTGCTTTCTTGTCGTACCTCCATTTTTTTTTACATTAAAAATATGACTTCTTCAGCTCACTCTTTTTTATTAACTGTTTTCACTGCTTGAAAAAAATGGAGATACAACGAGAAAGCACTGAGGTCGCAAAATGCTATAAACACAAAAAAGAGGTGGAAAACCAAAACCCAGAGATGAAGTCACCTGTACCAAATTTCTGGAGTTGAGCAGGCCGGACATGCCAGACACAGAGAGCGGCGATGAGGTGGGGGACGGGGCCGATGACACGCTCTTGTCCACGGCGGGCTGGGAGGTCAGCGGGCCCATGACCGACACGTGAACAGAGGAGGAATGAGTGGTGACACTGGTGGACATGATGAGGATGAGGGTCGGGGTGCCGGGGGCCAGGCATCTGTGGACAGACAACAAAAAAACAGTTTTAATTTTTGCAGTTTTATGCCACTTACAACAAAATTAAGTCATATAAGTGCATAAGAGTCGAAGATTAGAGCCTATGATACTTAAAAATAACATGATACAAAGAAACGAAGGAGAGATACGGATGACATATTTGATAAGAACCAAACCACACATGAGCACCCGTCAACCACCCAAGTGTAAACATTTTAAAAGTCAAAGTTAAAGTAATATCCACTGGATGAGTAAATAAAAAGAAACACATCAGCACAATAATTAAATAATCCTCACTAAATGCTGGGAAGCAAGGCTGGAAAACGGCAACAATAAATAGGCACCCGGTAGAAATAATGTAAGTCCTTCTAGCAGCGCCCTCCAACCCTTCCATTGATATTTCTTCAGTTTTGAAGTACCTTAATTGAACCATTGAAAACAATAACCCCTTCTTGTGTATAAGATAAGATACATCTTTAATGTCCAGATCCTGGCATGGCATATTGGTTTGGTGTTTCACCACGTGTACACACACATACATACACACACACATGCACACACACGCAGGCTGAAACTTACAATCATATCATAATAAAAATGAACAGCAATATAATATAAACAATAATAATCTTAAGCAAGATATGCACTCAATGTTATTCTGATGCATGCTCTTAGGTCGTAAGAATATACAAGATGGTTATGATGGAAGCATTTTGATGGATGATGGTAAAAATGACCTTCTGTATCTTTCTTTGTTACAGATCAGAAATCAGAAGCCTAGGTCTTTTACTTCTGACTGACGTTTTTATTAGAGAGAACAAGGGATGTTTGTTGTCTAAAAAGATGGAATTAATTTTTTTAGTGCAAGCTGTATAATGTACAATTCATCCAAGTAAAGGGATGTAGATGTTGAAATTTTACATGCTTTCCGTATTAGTCTATTAAATTTTTGGGCTATAGGTATCATTTTAAGGGGATCCAGTGGTCAGATCAGTAAAAATTTTGAAAAAAATATCAGTTTTCGGATTTTGGAGTATCTTAATAGATATCAATATCAAGGATCCATCTTTAGAAGCCTAATTCCTTTATCAAACTTATAAATAGCTGGAAAAAGCATTTGAGAGAGGTAGCAAAGTAGGAAAATCTTCACCAAAAATTCTCTCTCTTTGTAATTTTCTCGGAATTGTTTAAATATATCTGACCAGGTTGCAACACTATTTTGAGTAGGTCTCAGAAAGTCACTTTCAGAATTGTTTCAAATTTGCACACAGTCTTTTATACACATTTCTCTATAACCTTACAGGAGCATTTTTGCTGTTTATGGTACGCATTTGGAGTTTTAGGCCTTTTTTTATTTTACAAAATCTTAAAATATTGGAGACCTGAATGTAGTGCATAACAAGGACTGTAAAGCTCACAAGTTAGTACAGAAAATTCAAATTTGGCCCTGTAAGGTTATTCTACCTACCAACAGTAATTGCCAAGCCAAATATTAGTATTAGGCTTCTATCTTGATGAGTGTTGATGATTGACAAAATATAAAATTGGTTTTAAAAATGCTGAATCAATCCTTTATTTTTGATGGCTCGAGATTATTATGGCTAAAATCTTGAATTTTTCGCTTGGTAACCTTTTTTTGTACTATGTCACCCCCCTTTGATGCAGAAAAGCAAGCATTAGACCAAAAACTATAGCATTTGGTTGTTGACCATAGCTACACCCCCTTAAAGCCTGTTCATTTGTGTTCCTGGCCCACGCTGTGTTATGTGTATACAAAAATTGATCATACTTTCTATATATAAATATTTGAATGATAAAATATGGACATCAATGTTTTATCAACTTTAAAATATATGAGCTTCCTTAGAAAAAATAGTCTTTTGTTCACTTTTTTATGGAGAAGAAAAGTGTGGACACGCCAGTTGAGTTTTTTGTCTATTGTAACACCCAAATACTTAGATCTATAGTCGGACACTTGCTCAATGTTTTCTACTCTAAAAATGTTCTCCTTTCACATCCTTTCCTTCTCTAAAACAATCTGTCATCTGCTTTCGTCTCCTCTTTCCGCCCCAACCCCCTTTGCCCCCTCCTCTGGGCGACTGACTCATTCTGCAGCCTTTCTCCTGCTGCTCCCTGGCTCCTTCTTAATCTTACTGCTGTCTTTCAGCCCCACCCCTGATCTTACGGTAGAAAAGATCTACACCTAGCCTTCCTGGACAAGGGCAAAAAAATCTCGGAGGTCCCGAGTGCAAGTTGAGAACTTAAAGATTCCTTGGTGGTACAAAATCGATGAGTAGGCTCTTAAAAGTCGCCACCCAGGCAAAATTCAAAATTTCCAACCAACTGAAAATGTTTAATGTGTCCCCAGAGCTCATAAATTTTATATGACCTTCGTGGCGAACGCTGTAAAACACTTAGCAAAAAAAAATTTTTTGCAACAGAACAGGTCCTTGATGTTACCCCATTCAAGTGAGCCCTGAGTGGTGTGTCAGGGTAGTGTGGGTATGACATCTCACCAGTACTTGTGAAAGTGAAAGTGTTAGAGGGTTCCTGGGTAGCGAGAGGCCAGAGGTGTGAAATTTGACCAATGACTGTCGTCCTGATCATTTGGCTAGGAAAAATAAAAAGTTCCTCGAATCATTGTTACATGAACAGGAAGTGTGGCATTGGTCATTGGTTGACCATGCTTTTGATTTATACTGATGGGTGGCGGCTAAAAGTGGAAGCAATAGCCTGAATAAGAGATGTTCAATCGTTTCTGTTTTTTAATAGGTCATGTCAAACAACCGTTTAACAACGGTCCTATGAGATGCATGTATTGGTGGCAATGGATAAGTAAGACTGACACATGCCATTATCAGAGATGCTAGGATAGCACTTGAGAGGTGTGAGGTGTTGACCACTGCTTGCACCAAACAAGCAACCCTTGATCCCACCATCTGGGCATCTGGAACCCCTCACCCCTCCATCTCCCTCCAAGTTCCCTGAACCAAGACAGAAAATGTACATGATGGAATTTTTTTTTGGGGGGGGCTCCCTTGCGCTTCTGTCTTTTTAACCTTAACCGTACGTTGTGTTTTACTATCGTATCCAAGACATGGGGAACTCTGTGCCACCAATTTCTAAAGAGGAAATAATTCACTCATTAATCCGATCCGTACGCTTTGCATAGTAGTTAGTCTGTCAAAATGACTTTTTGACAAATACTGAAAGTTTCAAAGAGATCGCACTAGAAGTATTCTAAAATGTGAAGAATACATTACAACCCCGAAGGAACAAAATGACCCCAGGGTGTACAGATAGGGTTTATTAAAATTAAAGAAGTTCAACTGTACTCTGGAAATTGAAATATAATTGGCTTTACTACTAAATATCATGCTACGGTTATTCAGTTTTCCATTCTTTCCTATCGTACTAAGGAGATGTCAGCTTGTATAACATTAGATTCAGGAAGGGTACAATATAATAATAAAATTATTTGGCAATAGATCTATATTTAAATTACAAAGAAGTTATAATTTCGGAAGTCTTTCTTAACAGAGCTTGGAAGAACTGGGGGGGGGGGTTTGCAATCTCTATAATAATTAGAGTATAAGAGGGATTTTTCGGTAATTTGATACAATCACTCCCGTCTCACAATGGATGTTATTTGGGGTAAGATTGAAAAATACCGGACCAGCGGACTGACTTTGCCTATGTCTCAACCTTAGGAATTCATGATTTTCCACAGTTTTTATCTCTCAATGGAGAATCTCAGACCCGTAGATCTATTCATAAAATAGACCCCCCTGAAACCCCCCCCCCACCCACCCCACATTCTCGCGCAATAATGTATAGCTATTCTACGAGTGGTCCGGTATTCTTCAATCTTCCCTTATTTGGTAGCTTTTTCGGGGGGGGGGAGGGGGGGGGCTTAGGGCCCTGAACACAATTTTGGCATTTAAAAACGTCGCAAAAATGATAAACAAAAAAAAGTCAAACCGCCATGGATGAGCACCATAGAAATACAAAACTGGGGGTAGGGGGGGGGGGGGATCCAATCTCTAGCCTTCTATTAGGTTCTAGAGTCTAGATCAAGATTCTATAATTATTACAGTTTAGGGGGGATTTTTCCAATGTGTAGGGAGAACAGTAGAGAAGGCAGGATCAGAAGAGTGGGCCAAATTATAAAGAAGACAGCCACATTCATTGATCCAATTCATTCATTCACTTGAACAGACAGACCCGTATTTCCACTAGACATGGGCAGTTTTCTCTTTCAAACCCTGGTTCTAGATCTAGATCTAGACTAGCACTGCTAGTAGTAGCAGTAGATCTACACATGATTTGGTGAACGAGGAGACAGTTGACGGAGATCTAGATATATCTAGATCTAGATCTAGATCTAGATTATCTAGATCTACATCTAGATCTAGATATAGATCTATATCTATATATAGAATCTAGAAGAACACAAGTTATTCTTTTTCCACACTACACGCAGCCAACGTCTGGGGAATAAATAGTATCGCAGTAGCAATAGAATATATTATTTAGGCTAATATCAATGCATCTTTTACTTTTACTTTTAGCCCGCAGATCTGGTTAATTTATTGCAACCTCTCTGGTTTATTCAGAGGAGATAATGGAGTTGTGCAGTTCCGTGACGCGAAGTGCAGTCAACACTGTGCTTGGGAGGCAGATCTAATCAGCGTAATCTTGCGGCACTCCGCGGCCCTTCCATGTCCTGTCTCCACAACCCAAGCTTTGCACCCTCGACCCTTGGCGTCTGCAAAGCTCTGGGGCAACGTCTGCTTGGGGTAAGTTCGCGGGGAGGTTACGGTTACCGCGCTGCCGACACCACAAAAATACTTCACTTCAAGTAAGGCAAAAGAGGTGGGAGGGAGGGGACCAAAGCTACGCGCGACTAGCACTTTATCCAGGTCATTCATTCTGAAACATGAATAGAGCCCGCCGCTTACTCGCATTCCGATCTTTACTCACTATCTAAAAATAGTCATGAGATAACTGGAGCAACGACTTTTGATTGGTCGAGAGGAAATGCCAGGGTGTCAATCACGTTTTTAGCAACGACATGTCGTTCAGCCGGGGAGAAATACGCCGAGGAGTGCAGCCATACCCGTTCACGAATGGTAGCCAAATTAGTTGTACACAAAGCCAAAAAGATTAACAAAACTGACACATAGACATTTTACAAAAAATAAATCATAAGAAGGCAAGAAAAACCACATCAGCCAGTGCAAATGCTAAATTTATCGATGATACGTGGGAACACAAGTGATCTCCCCTTTTCCACTACGGCCCTCTTGTTTGGCCTTGTGTAGGCCTGGCGTAGTACGGTGGGAGTGAGGACAGGGGAGGTCGATGGCATCCGAAGCCACGCCACACTCTGTCTGCGACGCTAGCTCATAAAACTGAACAAATACGGTTTCAACTTACCAATGCTGTTATCCTCAACTTGTTTTAGTCACAAATAAGAAATATGCAACTTTGCTTTTGCAGGAAACATTGTTTCTTTGCACCGATACAAATCCAAACGCCGTTCCACGAATCGCTAGGTGGCTCTCCAAGGGAGACCAATCCCATGAACCTTTTCTTTGCTCAAGAGTTACGCGACGCGAACGTCGTCGACCTCAGGCCCCAAAATTAGCTTCTGATTCGCGCTTGTTTTGTTTTTTACCTAAATAAAGATAAAACGACTTGTTGATCTATTTTGTACCAAACACACTACTATAATACATGCATGTGCACCCCTAGAGAGGGTGCTTTCATGCAACACCGAAAACAGGTTCACAAATGACCAAAACGAGACCTTGCCTTTCGAGCACACTGCTGAAATAATAGAATTTAATGGTGCACGAGTTCATTTCAGGGATATTTGCAGTTTGCAGGCCCAGATAAATATTCTAGCCTTCGTTGATTGCGTGGATATGTATTTTTAGTTCAAATACGGCTGACCCGACAGTTTTTAAAAAACACACTGGAAGTCCAACACCTCAAAGCAATAAGACGGAATTCGAAAAGTTCAAGCAGCTGTACACTGTATTTTGAATCCATTGGCGCATTATTGTGTTTGCTGTTCCTATTTCAAAAACTTGAAAGTACACATACGAAAGGAAAGGGGCGGTGCGGAGGGGCACTAACCCGGTACCGATCCAGTTGGCTGAGGATGCAAAAAGTGCTGTTTACTTTGGCGACTGACGACAAGACGAAGAAAGGTTTCGTTTGTATTTGTTGTGCTGTCAAAGAGATTTTAGAAAAGGAAGAAGCGGGGGCTGTTAACAGAAGGTGCAAAGAGAGAGTGTTCACTATTTCTTGTTGTTATTGGTGGTGGTGGTGATGATGATAATGATGATGGTAATTAAGATGGTGGTTGTGTGGAGTGTGTATGTGCGTGTGTGTGTGTGTGTGTGTGTGTTAGTTATTTTATCGCTTATTGGTGCTTGCATTCAGAGAGAGAGAGAAGTTTGTGCGGAAAGGAGAGG